TCCGGGTCGTGTAAAACGTGCATTTGCCCGGATGCAACTTCAAACCGGAAATGTGGCAGATCCCCAACACTTGTCGGAGCAACTGCAAAAGCTCCGTGGTCGTACCGGCGTATCCCAGTAGTTCGTCAAGCCATCCGAGGACACCATGCATGAGCAGATCGCCGAACAGTTCGTCGACCACACCTTGGCAATAGGCCACTGCGTCAGACTGTCCCATTAACACCCGGGTCGGCGTAACAACACCGACCGGTGTCATGAAGGAGTAATACTCCTGGGAATCGGGGGGTAAAGGCAGTTGCCAGTAGCCCTTAATCCAATCCAGCGAAAAGTAGACGAGCGAGTCCTTCAGCACGCCCATTGCGACGTCGAGGTTAGGCATCGGCTCGGTGCATGCATTGATTGGCCTCGAGTCAATCGTCATCCGCAGGTCGCCCGGATCTTTTTTCGGGACAATCCTCGGGGCAGCCGCCCAACGTGACCGAGTGTTCCGATACACTAAGCCCGCCTCTTCTAACTCCCGCACATGCTTCTCGAGAAACGCCATGTGGGTCGGAGGGTAACGCCTGAGCCCTGACTTCACCGGTACGGACACCCGTTTGAGGTGCACTTTCAAAGGCTTCACTCGGACTGGAGGATCTCGCCCAAACCTCAGGCGGAAAACATCTCGAAACTCCAGCAGGAGGTCTTGGAGGGTTTCAACGGCAGGTTCTTCCATGCCGTCAGCTGCTGCCTCGGCCACCTTGGCCATCAAGACGGTATGAACTGTCTCGGCGTCAGCTAGACTAGGTATCATACCCAATTCTGGCGTCGCGCAGCACATGCCTTCGTCGTCGTCAATACCGTCGGACAGCTCCTCCATGCGGAGTGTCCGATGCATCGCTATGCCAGGCGTCGTGTCCGGCTGATCGTCAAAGTCCCATACCGCCTGCTGCCGACGCGCGTTCTCGAGTAGTGTCTGCTCACTATATCCGACCTTCTGCATCACCGGCAACCCAAGCGTCAGTTCCACGGCAGCCTCCGCTTCGTCGATCCAAACGCGAAGGCCGCGAAACATTAGCGGTCCACACCCCGTGTTGAATTCCAGGCGTCCAAGACGAACTTGCTTCGTCACAGTGATCGGTCGACTATCCGTGCCGTAAGGCCGGAGGGTCGTGGGCCCCAACATGATAATTTCGGGAGCTGCACCTGCCGCCAACAACGCTGAGACTAGACCGCCTGAAGCAACCGATAGGTCAGCGCCCGAGTCTAGTAGCGAGGCTCGGACCGGTACGACACCATCCACCGTGGCCGTCAGGTCTTCGCGGCCCACCTTAACGGTGTTCGTTCGCATCGTCGCTACACGACCACCAGGTATTCCGCGTCCTCGGCCGGCGTCAGCCCGACCGTCACCACGGCTCCAGTCACCACGTTTTTGGCCAAGCACCCGGCCATGTGCTTTAAGCAGTCGCACGGCTTCGTCATCCGTGATTCCAGGACACTCACGGACCTTGTGAGTGGTGGATTTACATTTCAAGCAGCCGCTGCCAGGCGTCGAACTAGTCGGTGCCTGAGGCGTAGATGGTGCCGGGGCCGCTCTCGGTGGCGCCTGCGCTGAAGCTGGCCTAAATGTTTGGCCGCTTCCTTGCGGCATCCTCGGCGGGTCAGGTTTCCCGGCCGGCTTCGCTTCTTCTTCATAGCCGACAAAACGCTCGTGGCCGATGGCAAATTCACGCTACCAACGCACGAAACGGTACGCGTCCTTCTTCAGGGCCTAGTTTCGCGTCAGCGCCATCTGCTCCGTCACTGCCCGATGGAGTGACACCGGCTTGACCACCATCGTAATGATCTTTACGACGGCGGCACTTCTTCTCGAATAACCCACTCCTGGCGGACTCGACGTAAAGCGGCCGCCATGCCGTCCAACATTCACCCGATCCGAGAATCTGCGTCCGGGATCGACATGTCAAAAACCACCTAGGCCTTCACACGCTTCTTGAGGTAATCCAGTCTTCGATGGTCAACTTGAAATCCCAGCGTAAACCATGCCGCCCATTCGGCATCAGTTACCTATTCCGGGAAGTTCCCCATGTCCCACTCAGCCACGCGTTGTTTAGTCGCCGGGTCAATGCACGCACTCAACGGCATCAGAAATGGTCGAATGCCGTTGACGGTAATGACATTCATCTGGCTGATGTACTGGTTGTACGACGCCATGAATGCTCGCCGTTCTTCCTTCGTAGAACCCTTGAACGGGTTATTTAGGAGGGCCGGTGCGTTACGAATGTATACATCGTCTTGACCTATGTCCCAGTCTTCAGTTACAAGGGCAATCATACTGGGAACTGCCCCAGATGGCCCGCCAAATGAAGGAGGCTTAAAACTCGATAGTCCGCCAAACAGCCACGCCTCGTCGACCGCCACTGGCTGGCGTCGGTCCTATGGCGACCGGAACAGCCGATGTACAGTCTTCTTGCTCCGCGGTCGTCCACGATCATCAGGTCGGCCAGAAAAGTTCTCGCCGGCTACCGGACTGTCTGAACGGCCCGACCTTGATCGATCGCCATCCAAGTACACATGATCGTTGCCAGGGAGCTCCACGTCCTGTACGCTTCCGCTCATGGGTCGTTCCATGCTCCAAATTGCTAGCTTGTCAAAGACAGCTAAAGAATTCTTTGTTGTCTGCACCGGCTTGCACAACCAGTTACCGTGCTCACGACGGTATACTTCGATAAAAAACCAAAAGTCTCTTCATTATCATTCAGGTTATGTGCCCATCAACCAGCGAATCGCTTCGCTGTAATCCAGGCATCACAGTCAATACAGTTACAGTGTACCGAGGGAGGTTCGGTAAGTCCTAGCCTGGGCCTAAAAATAGAACCCGACTGAACTCACTGTCAACTGCACACACACTTGCACGGGTAGTTAATCCGAGGCACGGCCGAGAACACCTCGATCCTTTTGGAGTTGACTTTGGCGTCCCTTTGTAGTACTTCGCGTTGTCCATGACAAATACGGACGAAGAATAGCCAAATTCCCTTACCTCATCGATCAGTTTCTTAAACCCGTCAACAATATAGTCGTGGTTGAACATAAAACGGTAGTCCTTCTTAACCTTCCCATTCTTCGGAAAAAGTGTTTTCACGCGTGCTTTTTGGGAGTTTTACGCGTGTTATTAAAAGTGGGGGAATTTCATGCCTGTGATACTAGTGCTGCAGTATTACGCATGATATGGGAATTAACCCTGAATGGGTTAATTCGTCCTGCAAAGGTGTCGACAAAGGCATCCAAGTTGCTGGTTTTTTCATCCTTAATATTTCGGATTTATTTTATTATACTATTTCTATTATAAGTATACAAACTACAAGTATGTATTTAAATTACCGTTGCTTACAAAAGCTAAGATAAAAAGTAAAAAAATATGATATGCTGCAAAAGATATGGAACAGAGTAGTAATAATCATGCTCCGGATCAGCAACACGACTTTCATGTTAGTCGGTCGATAAAAACACGCACAAATACCCCAGCAAGCGTGAAAACCCCAAGCACGCGTTAACCCCCCAAAAATTGCTCAAAATACGCGACATGAGTAAATACCCCAAAAAGCACGCGTGAAATCCCTACACCCCCATTCTTCTTGCCGCCAACAAAGATGTCCACTCCCAACAGATGAGACGAGTCGGATCCATCATCGACAATCGCAGCCACAAAGCAGTACCGGCGTCCCTTAAGTTTTGGCTTTGTGGATTCGTCCGTTGGGTCGTACAACCTGTCGGTGTGGCGACTGTGTTCTACGGCGCATCTTGACGAACGTCTTCATACGTGCTATGATCCCTTCATCCATGACCCACCCACAAAATGCAGTTTTGCCGCCATAAATCTGTTAATTGTCCTGCTGATGCAATGGGTAGGAATCGATCGGCCCAATCGCATTCGTCAATTTGCGCTTTATTTGACGCAAATCGGAGCAGAAGTAGGAAATATAGCTTAAAAAGAGTGAAATTTTGTGCATTTTGTACGGTTATTTTGATTGATACATGTCATGGAAATATAGCGGTTGAACCGCATTCGAAATATAATATAAATATTGTAATCTCATTTCAAAGTGGTTATCGGGTTTCACAATTCATGGACGCTTTTTCTGAAAACTTCAGACCAAAACACATCATATTGTGAGATATACGTCATTCCGGAGTCTGAATGTTAAAGTGCATGTTCAGACAAATTCGAGACTTCAAAAATCTAGGAAATTGATCCCAGGTTTTGCTCATGGATGTTCAGGTAGAGTTAGACATGGGGCTTCACTCGTGGTTAAATCGTGTGGTGGAGTTTTACGTAGTAAGCACTACTGGGTTGTTGCTTCAAAGTCGAGCAGCCCAGTGTAATATCACTCCATCATAGCTAACGCAAAACTAGCAAACAAGCCGTTGGCCCTATATCTTTGCGAAGGTAATCGTGCTAGAATTTTACTTTGTGAGCTGTAGTGCTGGTCATAACGTTACCATACAGTTCAAATCCCTACGCGTCGATACGCATGAGGCTAGGTATGCCCAAGCAATTCTCGTTAAGTTCCACAGTTTGGTCATAACGTTACCATACAGTTCAAATCCCTACGCGTCGATACGCATGAGGCTAGGTATGCCCAAGCAATTCTCGTTAAGTTCCACAGTTTAACCACAAACAAAACACCAACACATGACATTTTCGGTGACCACCAGTAAAAAGTCAAATGATCATAAGTCTTTATCCTATTCCCCTTACTGTAGTAGTAGTATTGTTAAACAGTACTTAAAAAGTGTTTTTAATTCGCTAGACTTAGTGAAGTGACATACACGAGCACACAAATATATTTCGACAACTACAAATGTTCCTTATACCTCGAAGTTCTTCGGAGCATTAAGCTATATAGAAGTAACTACCTATTTCCCATACCAACTTTTGGGTCCAATTTTCAGTGAGCTACGCGTAGACTTCACTTGGTTGTCGGGGTACCGGTTGTATCGTTACGTAGAATATTTTTTATTACGGGAACAATCGGATTCGAGTCGTCGACGAAGGGCTTAGTGATAGTATCAAGTTAGGGCTGCGCAACTACTATTAATGTAAACTCAAATATTCTGTTAATAATGTATTTCAAAGCACCAAATTAATACGTCACAAAAAGCCCCCTGTCCACCCCAAATCAAGTACATGGCTTACATCGCTATTATATGCATGTACAAAATATAGCTTGGAAAATAATATATATACTACGTAGTAGTTGGTGATGTGTGGCATAATTTCGGCCGGGCGTAGGAAGATGTGCTTTGTGTTAGGTGATTGTGGATGAGAAAGTGAATACATACAATCTCCATAGCACTATGCGAATTACACTGCAGTAGTCTCGATGTCAATTCTCGTAACCTCGAAACCTTGTTAACTTTGGGGGATGATGCCAACAATATAGTGACTTCAAAAAATCCCAGCTTTAATGAGAATATGATGCAATGCTGTGAGATTTGCAGGTTGATTTGCTGTGTATTTGCGCTAAGAATACCATCTTCGCGCCCCCTCATAGTACAGTCTAGAATTCAATGTAGTCATGGGGGAAGGACTTTGAACAGTAACATAAGACAAATAAGGGGGGGCAACTAGCATTCAATCAATCCCAAGTAACATTACACCTCAAATCTGTACCATATTACCACCGTGTACCAGCTCCCTTCACTTATCCCTACATGTACTGCAGTTTTTTCACTTATTGAGCGATAATTTTCGTTTAGATTTTCGTAAACCCCTTGTGGTGCAGCCCTACCCCTGCCGATTTCATCACTAACCGGCTGAAGCCACAAGGGGTTCTGATGTGAAAAGTCAATACGCAATATAGCCGCGAGCAATCCGCCCCGAGTTCGATCGAGTAACTGGCGGCATCCGTCGACAGCGCATTCCTTATTGACACCACGTCGACAACACAACTGTCTCTCTGTACTGATACTTAACCATGATTAGAACGCAGTAGTAGTAGTGCATGATTGGTGCAAAAGAACTTACTATGGTATGAGAGTAAGCGGTGTAAATCTCAATCGACCAGACTCTCATGTTCAGCCACACGACGACCAGGACCTGCCTTATCAGCCGATAACGTCGTTGTCATGTACATACTACTAGTAGCATTGTAAGCTCCAGCGCCGTCTCGGCATGTGCATGATCGACAAGTGCTGGCCATTCTCGATCAATAATACTAGCATGCAGTAACAATATGCTATTAAGAATACTTCGCCGAAACTATCGACATATTGGTTGCCTCCAAAGCGAGGCACGCCAATCCACGCTGTCGGGCTCGGCACCCACGTCCAAGGCAGTTGGAGCCGCTCAAACGACGCTAAAGTTCTCTATTGACCACAAAAGTCGTCGTGCCTCTGGTAGCGGTGATGTCACGGTGGAGTATTGCAGCAGCTAATGGTGTTAATTACGTTTAATGTCAAATGGTTGTGAAGGGTGCAAGAAGTAGGCGAAGACGATGGAGTAATGGAATATTGTATGGAAATGAGTGTGGTGGTGGGCGGTGGAGTGCAGCGGTGAACTTCTGCATTCGCGGCTGCGCTCCACCGTTACTGCCACCACCATACTGCGCACTTCGATGCCCACAGCCGCTACCCTCCACCGCTCCACACCACAATATCCTACCGTCGATGCACTCTACTGTCCGCTACCACCTACTGCGATACTCTCCACCGACGCAGGATTTCACAGTCCGCCACCACCACTTCGCTGTGATGCTGCATCACAGCGAAGTGGCGATGGCGGCCTGTGATACCCATCTTCTCTGTATACCCTGCTCTCAAAAGTCTTATTGGCCACTTAAATTCGAATTTCAGTAATTCTGATTGGTTCATGGCATCGTATTATTCAACGCCAAACGGAAATCCAAAATATTACCTTACAAATAACAAGATAATTTTATCCCTGAGAACAAATTTATAACTGTGGCAAAACTGATTTCGTAGGGAAAATGTTAACATCACGATTCAAGTACGCATGGTAAAACATACTACCCGGTAGTAGGATGTTTACCTCGCAGATAACCTAAAATTATTAATTGGTCGTCATGGATACTGTAGTATGCATGCTTGTCAGGGAAATCACAGGTGTCGAAGTCGACATAGACCTACTGTATCGTATTCCCCATCACGTGAAGCATAATTTTCGGGAAATAATCTCTAGTGGCCATGATCAAACCTTCAAATGCTTCGACAATCTAACCCTTAAATAATGCAAGCCATGTTTTTATTGGAGCAACTCGTTCCATGAACTACCAGTGCTGTACTAACGTTAGTATTGCCGCAGAGCTGAGCACTCAGGAAATCACTGCAATAAATAAATTTGTCATATTCTCATGCACAATCAAATACTATACCGGTACGTATAGTAACG